AGCTCTCATGTTCAACCCTTGCCTCAAACTCTTTCCTAGCAAGCTAAAGTCTAGGTGGTCGAACCATTCATGTTTGTAGATGTATTTCCATATGGAGCAGTACGGTATCTAAGGATCATTTACAGAGATTCAAGGTCAACGGGCAGCATTTGAAAGCTTATTAGGAGTTGACTACTCCAGTGAGAAGACAATTGCACCACTTGACGTCCAAAGTAGCCTAAACAACAAAGTCAAACTATAGACTGGAAACAAGCGGTTATCGGGAGGCAACCCAGTTCTCTACCCTTTTATTTATTCAATTTTGATGCATTAGAATATGATTTTTATTGCTTTAGTGTGCTAGGAGTAGTTTAGTAGTCATTCATCCATCACTTAGGTAGTAAGAATCATGCACATGTGACATAAGTTTCAATTATGTCATGATTTTGGGGGTGTTAAAACCACACTCAGGTGATTTGGGGTGATAATCACGCATTTCGAGGCAAAAATGGGATTTGTAGAACTTTAACCAATCAAAAGTGTGTTTTTGTGGAAATGATTGAATTTTATGCAACCGTTGGCTTTCATACCACTAGCACATTTTCCAAAGTTCGTTTGAAGTCTTGAAAGTATTTTGGAGTGATAGTTGAGCATGTTTTAGCTTAGGCATGAAAAGAATGACATTTTATGCTAATTTTGACAAAAAAAAAAACGTGTTTTTCGAGGGGGAGAGGGGTATTTGAATTTTTCCATGCTCCATATACTACACTTACCCTTTAAAACATGAGTGACACAAAACACGAGATTAGGGAGTCAAGACAGGCCGAGAGAATGAAATCTTTGAAGCAGGGAATTCTTTTCCCTGTTGATAGTCCATGCGGCCGCATGGGCTATTATCCTATTCAGTCGCATAGGAGGCCTTCACTCGAACCTTAACACATTTTACCCCCAAATCGACACTCCACACCGCAAACTCCCCAATTTACATGAAATTTCATTTAGGCATCCAACCTAAGGTGCATATTAACAACAATCTTCAAGATTTCATCATATATTTACAATCTAGTCTTCGGGTTAGTTACATTGGCTGACCGTCATCACATGCTTATCTTCCTGAACCTCATTAGCGGGATTTGCAAATCATAAGGTGTGCGACTCCTACCAGTGGAGCCATCTATGGTGGAGAGCTCTTTTATTGATCATAGGACTGTAAATGCATAAGTACTATCCAGAAAGCAATATTGAGTGTTGGAAAATTCGAAATTGGTTATGACCAATTTAAGTGATTGTTTAAGTAGAATTTTTTGTTTGGTGAATGAGAAATTAAACCAAACTTAAAATGCTTAAATGCTTGAAATTGTTGGAAATTGTATAGAATATTATGGAATATTCTAGAGAATGAGTAGATGAAAAGATGAGTCTTTTCATATGGAAGATCATGACTTTTGGAGATCATGACTTTTGGTCTGAGTAACTTCCAATAATTATGATTCTTAATTTCAAGATATGTGTCTCTTGGTATGGACGTTCCAACTACTATATATATAGATCCCCATGTGTTTGGATTAACAACAAGAAAGAAGAACAGTTCAATTGATATTTCCATATCATTCTATTCTATGTTTTACTTTAGTTCCGCATAAACCATTTTGTAGAAGTGATTATTTTTTGCACCAAAATCATGGTTATGGTAGAGAGGGAACTCCGTTCAAGTTTGTTGGTTTAAGCCATTTGGAGTGCTCCTATAGCTTGACATGGTCGTTGTATCTTGGAAGTCATCACTATTTTGTCTTCTCAAAGCAAATTTCGGTAAATCGAATGATATTTCGATTTCCGGTATGTTCTTGATTAATATAATATGCACATTATCGGTGTAATATCTCCTACATTGAGAGCTTGAGTTATGTCGACGCAGCCGAGGGCCAATGGGTTGATGATGTTGAAATACCTCCCAATCCGACCTGAATCTGCTGTTGATACACAACTACTTCGCCAGCTTTTCACGACCACGATCGGTACTAGTTAGAATTTTCAGGCCATGCAGCAGTCCTTTAGAGATTTAGAGAAAAGTGTACGGTCTGTGCGTATTGATGTTTCAGTGACCCGACGTGACATCAATCGGATTCAGAAGGATGTTGCTCACGTAGGGAGATCGATCTTCTTACCAGTCGAGTGGATCGCTATGTGGGACGAGTGATGAAACATAAGGTACCATACGTAGTATGCAGGGCGAGATAGGACATCAGTCTATTATGATGAGAGAGCATTCTGCTTTGATGAGAGAGATTCTTGCACATCTACTTCCATCTTCAACATTAGATCCGTCAAGCTCTAGGACTTTTCCACCATTTCCACCACCACCATCATCAGACTGATCAGGGAAGTACCCGTTTCTCTTCTTTGCGTTCATTATGTGTTCTACTTTCTTATTTTGTAAATTAAGGGCAATGACATGCTAAGTTTGGGGTAGCTAAACTATCTGACCTTTTTGGATTTAGAATATCATTGATTGTATATATAGTTTATTGCATTTGTGTGATTGCCAGGTGTTAAAAGAGAGAGAGAGAGAGAGAGAGAGAGTTGGAAAATTATAAAAATATATTTTTTTAATTTTTTAATTTTGTTGTTACTACTTCTCTATACTTGTGTGGGTTGGATGGATTTGTAGGGAAATGATGTATATTGGAATTATGTATTAAGCTAAGAATTGTGGAAATATTGTATGTGGTGCCCTGTGGTCATTTGACTTGAGAGTCATCAACTGAAAACTCGCTACATGGGTCAATTAGTCCATTAATAGAGAGTAGTTAACACAAAAAGTTTTTTTAAAAAATGTGCATAAAACAGAAGGTGCACCAAATGCCAAGATTAAGCTCCAAACGCTTATTTTAGAAAATTAGACTTTTGACAAGAGATTATAACCCTAGTTGGTTCTTGGAGGCAGAAGTAATCAAAAATATATGAGAATCGTTATTCATTGAAGTGTTAACTTAAACTGGTGAAACTCTATCTGAACTAGAGAGGGAAATATTTAGAATTAGCTAAAATGTCAACTTAAGTACGCACCTCGGGAAAAAGTGAGTGAAAAGTATAAATTTAGGGGTGTATCTCACGAGTGAAGAAAGTAAATATTTGACTATTGCAGGTTGGGAATTGAACCAGTCATGAGTTTGTGATGTTTTACATGGATATTCGTACAAACTTTGAGTTTTACATTGAATGAGTAGAGATTATTTCAACTGTGTAATTTGGACACTATTTACCGTATTAATACAAATGTCCAATCCTGAGACTGACAACATGCCACCAAACCAAGTTTAGATTGCGTTAGGCTATAATTTGTTCGAGGACAAACAAAAGCTCAAATTTGGGGATATTTCATGAGTGTATTTTGTACACTTATTTGGACCATTAAACTAGAATACTTATTGATGAATTGTATGAAAATATGACTTAATTTGTTGTAAATTGTGTTTTGTAGGAGGACATCAATGATATTGGTGGAATTGAAGAAAACGACCGTAATTGAAGCTGATATGGAGATTGGGGACTAAAATGAAAATAATCAAAAGTTATGGCAGATGTCGAAATGAAAATGTGAAAGTGTGAAGGGTCAATTAAACAAGTAAGGAAGACAAATGATGTGAAAAATATATAAAAAAGCATTGCGAAAGAGTTCAAGAACCAAACTGTCAACTTTGGAAGTTGACTTGGCCTATGCGATCACATATGCCATTTAAGTATGCGGCCACATCCTAACCATTTTGATTTATAGAGGCTCAACTGAGTATTCTATGCGTCGCACCCATAAGCACTATGCAGCAGCATAGTTCATTTTTGCAGGCGAAAATTCTATTTTTGTTTTAACTGAAACTCTAAATTGAAATTAGATTGGTAGCCTTTATAAACTCTAAGCGGTCCAGAAAGTAGCGAACATTCATTATAGCATATTTTGAGCACAAAAGAGAATAAATTTACATAGAAGAAAAAGATTTTCATAGCTTGGGTTTGGATTTACGTGAAGAAGTTGAAGATTTCAAGTTCTCCATTTCATTTCTTGATTTCGGTGATGTCTTCCTTTATTATTTTGTGAAATTTTCATATATAAGTACGCTAGGCTAATTCTATATTGTATTGAATGGATGACAAAACCTTTTGTCGTTTAGTTTTTAATTCGAGACTTTGTGTTTTTCATTTAATTATTGTGTTGTGATTCCATATCATTAATCTTTCATTGTTTTAATGCTTACGCACCATTAGTACAATTAGTTGCTTATTTGTAGTGTTGAAAAATTCACAATTGGTAGAACGCTGTATATGGAACACTCGGGCAATTCCTCGTGAGCGATATTTTAACTCACTAGATTATACTTGTCAACGATCTCGTATGCTTGCGAAATTTTACCGAACACGGACTAACTGAATAAACAGTTTTTGAAGCTTGAACAATAAATCAAAGATAACTAAAGGAGTTCTTGAAAGTGATAATTAAGAACAACACTCAACAATATATAGTAACCTGGAAATGTCCATTTCACTTTTTATCAATAATCTCCTCTACGGTACGACCACCCACTCCTATCTTACCAAGAGCTTCTCTCAAATTCTTCACACTCCTCCATTAAAAAAGGAGAATGTGTTGTTCAAGAAAAAAAAAGGGACAACCATTTGCTTAAAATTCCTGCTCAAGATATATTTTCTTAGTATGTAATCATTAACATATGGTCTTATACTAATTTCTAACATAGAAGAATTATACATTTTCTCATATTTCTTTCGATAATGTGTCTCAATTATATTTTTCATTTTCCAAGTATTTCTTGAATAAATTCATTAGTTTCCTAGTTTATTTGTACGTAATTAGTTCGATTATGCACATGGTGCTACATCAATCATTATGTAATAATAAGTGAACTTGTAGTTGAATATAAGTTTATATTTCACATTCATTAAATAACAAATTTATGCATTTCTAATCAGGACTCAAAAGCCAGAGTAGATTTTCATCTGACTTAGGATGTTCATAAAGTTGTCATTTGATGTGAATGCATTCCTTCATACGTTGTCATAACCATTTCTCCATCTTTAGATAACCTTTGAATTTGCTTTTTAACATTGCAGCCTCCATGCGTACACCGATAGTAGCTCCTGTACATACCATAAAAAGTAATTAACATATAGGTTAATTAGATGATATACTGAGCTATTCAATTTGTTACACACGAGAAAGATCAAGAAAATAGGCCATGTACTATATCTACACTACTATATAAGATTCATATACAGAGAATGAAATAAAAAGTAGAAAAACTTGTTGACATCAAAAAATGACTCCGACACGTGGCCAACAGAATAAGTCTTCGAGTCAACTCTTCCCTGCACACGTAGCACGTCGTTAGTCACCCGTGGCCTTTCCAGGAGGGTTTGGGAGTGGCCGCTAGCACTCCGATGGTCAAGTTAGTTTATAGTTCGACCGAAAAAAGGGTTCGCCAGCGATAGAACACTAGCCGGGAAGTGGTTGATAAAGTGTATAGTGATAAAAGTGCCAATATTTAGGGGAGAGGATGATACTCAAATTTGCAATGTAGTAGGAGAAAATCTTCCATCGAATCTTTCTTCTGGCACAAGTAGGGAATATTTATACTAAGAATGGGAAGATGAGAGTCGTCGGATGAGGAGACACGTGTTACTAGATCCCCAAGGCTCATCCCATCCTANGCTGATGTGGCCGAAGCAAAATGGGTTGGCAACTCTAGAGAGAGTTGTTATAACAGTGGATTCTGCTCTAGCCAAAGTGAGATGGGTTGGCAACTCATTGGAAAGCTGTTGCAACGCGAAGCTGGTGTGGCCGAAGCGAAAGGGGTTGGCAACTCTAGAGGGAGTTGCTGCAACATTGGATTCTGCTTTGGCCGAAGTGAGATGGGTTGGAAACTCATTGGAGAGCTGTTGCAACGTGAACCGAGTGAAGTGATGGGCTCTGAAGAGACAGCCTTGGGTCTTGTGTCAATGATTTGAAGGCATTTGCGTCTTCCCAAGGTAATCATGGGGAGGGGGTTTGCTTGCTTCCAAGGTATGCCTCCCTTACCATAAATGGTAATGATGGCGACAGCTTTCGTTTCTCAAGGTGATGCGTTCTGGACGCTCGTGGAATCCACTTCTTCATCAATATCATTGGTTTAAATGATCTTTGGTTTCAATGGAGATCCTTATGCTTTAGCATTGGGCGGTCCGATATGATTTGGAAGATCCAATGGCTGGGGCGAGTTTAGGATTCCTATAAAAGGCCCATCATCTTCATTTCCAAGCTTTTACTTTCAAGAAAATCTCTATATTGCTCTGGAAAAGATCCGTGCATCCTGTCTTTTTGCGTTCCCTTCTCCGACGAACGTTCAGAACTCCAGCGACTACTTTGCATACTCCGGCGATGGGCAAACTGCCGTGTTGAACTAGGTAACAAATGTGTTTCAGTTTCCTCACCTTTCTCTTGAAAGATTCTTCCAAAAATTACGGAATGGCAAGCGAACAATCTGTTAGTGCTTCTGGGAGTAAGAGAAGAGGTGAGGGGAGTTCTGCCATAATGAAACCCATGCTAGTATCCTCGGATGAGTTGAGCAGGGCAACTAGGGCCAGGGAGAACATTTGGAGGTGACCTGCTTCTCCTGTTGACACCTTGGTTTAATTGGGGGCTTCAAAATACCCTTCTAAAATCACTAGGGAGGTACTGGAGAGGTGTAGGGCCGTTTTCAGGATCCCTGATAGAGTAGAACTGATCATACCCGAGCCCCATGAGAGAGCCTGCTACCCGTGGCTGGGGTGCGTGGCTGTGAGCGAGAACCTACTTAAGGCCAACCTTAGGCTCCCCTTCCACCCATTTTTTAGGCCAGTACTTCGCTCCTATGGGTTGGCCGATATGGTGGTATGGTGGCTCAACCAGAACTCCTGGGCTTATATGGTGGCTCGTGGATGCTTTGGCGTCAGGCCAGCGTGGGGGTAGACATGCCATTTAGTGTATTTCACTCTATGTTCCTGTCGAAGTGATTGGCTGGGAGAGATGAGACTAAGGGTTGGTATTATTTGGCACCTTGGGGACTGCCCACTTCTGTTAAGGGCTGGAGGAGCTCATGGTTTTAGGTAGGCGGGAGGTGGGATAATATCGAGGGCGACCCCATGACGCCCCTTACTGTTCCCAAATCGTACTCAACTTATAGTAAGTTCCTTTTCCCGAGCTGATTTTACTTGTGCATTTTTGCTTATGGTTTTAATATATCTTATTTGCAGGCTCTCTTTCGATGTGCGATATATCTAAGGAGGAGTGACACATAATAAGCCAACTCTATCAGACGCATTCGGTGGAAAGGAGCTTCAAGGAGATCATTGACAAGAATACCTACTTCGTTCTCTACGGACTGATGACGAACCAAGGTAAACACCTCACTTCATGTCTCTTATGTTCTTGCTCCTATCTGAATATAGTTAAGCCCTTTGTGCCCTGTTTCCAGGGGATTTTGCGAAAAAAAGGCGCCGAAGCCTAACTTTGCCACGATCTACAAATCAGTTACGGAGGCGAAGATGCTGAAGGTAAGCTTGGCTGCTTACAAGAAGTAGTCAGAGCGCTTACTTTTGCTCAGTAAGGTTGGGTAGCAACCAACTGGGGATGAGAGATGGAGGAAGGAGCCTCCATCGTGAAGAAGAGAGTGGGCTCAACTGTGGCCTCCGCCTCTGCCCCCGTTTCACACACTCTTCCGCCTCCTCCGACTCAGCCCGGAGTGGCTGTTGCTGCTTACTTTTGCTCAGTAAGGTTGGGTAGCAACCAACTGGGGATGACGAGATGGAGGAATGAGCCTCCATCGTGAAGAAGAAGAGAGTGGGCTCAACTGTGGCCTCCGCCTCTGCCCCCGTTTCACACACTCTTCCGCCTCCTCCAGTTCCCAGTGCCATTGTGCCCATTACTGCCTACTTTGTCTAGGGGCTGACCAAGAAGAGGCAAAAGAGGGCTACCAATGCCTCGGCCAAAGGAAAGGCCACTGATTTTTTGGGGAGTAAAGATGACGACCTCTTTGAAGCAGTTTTGGAAATGCTGCCTCCAGAAATTGCCTCCACCGCCCGGATCCATGGAAAATACTGGACTGAGGATTGGCAAAACCACGCCCCTCGTGTAAGGTAAAGGTTCTGCTGGTTGCAAATAATGCTTGCGCGGCTAGGGTGCTAAGTGTGGGAGCTGCGACGGAGGATTTGGTCCGAGGCTTCTAGAAAAGGAATGATGGGCAGGAGGAAAAGTTAAAAACTTCGAAAACCTGGGAGGCTGAGATGGCCAAGGCCAAGAAAGAGACCAAAGAGGTAGAGGAGAAATGGATCATGGCCACTACCAAACTAGATTCGGCTGAAATCCAAGTAAATCAACTCAAGAATGAGCTTCATGAATCGGCTTCCCAGATGGAGGCCCTGACGAAAAGAGTCGACCAGGCCAATGACCACCAGAGAATCGCCTCGGAGGCTCTGGTCGAGGCCAATAAGAAAAAGGCCAAATTGAAGATGCTTTTCGAGGCCCAAGTGGGAGAGATCGAGTCCCTAAGGCCCGAAGTAAAGACAATTGGGGACGCGGCAGTCGAAGACTAGAAGGGTAATTTCGAAAAAACCAAGGAGTACGACGACTTCGCCAACTACTGGGCTTCATGGAGTGCCCAGGAGATTATGTCTTGTCCGTGGGAGAGGCATCCAAAGCTTGATATTAACTTCTTGGAGGAGGAGTTTAGAGGCTATACCGGGGGTCGACCGGTGATCGAGGAGGAAGAGGCGAAGGATGACCCTCAGGAAGTAGTAGACGAAGGGGCCATTATTAACGTAGATTAGGTTTTGCTCTCCATTGTACTCGGCTTCGGCCTCTTTTGTAATAAATGAAAATTTTCTTCTCCAAAGTGTTGTCGCTTCATTTTACTTTATTTTCAATTGCACAAGTTTAGTCGCATCGACTTATCTTAACCACTTAATAAAATGGAATAAGCTAATGAACTACGTAGTATTGCATCGGCCTTGCTTTATCCACTTAATAAAATGGAAGAAGCCAATGAGTCAAGTAGTATTGCATCGGTCTTGTACTTCGCCAAATCTGCATGATGTGTGCACTTGCTGCTTCGTCAAAGATGGCACCCGCACCACCTCTGACTAGACAGATTATTTTGGTGGAGGTGACCCCTGTGGATGAGCTCGCACCTTCCCAAATCTTGCTTGATATGTGAACTTTTCATTTCGTCAAAGATGGCACCCGTACCACCTCTGACTAGGTAGATTATTTTGGTGGAGGTGACCCCTGTGGAGGAGCTAACACCTCGCCAAATTTTGCTTGATATGTGCACTTACTGCTTTATCGAAGATGGCACCCGCACCACCTTTGACTAGGCAGACTATTTTGGTGGAGGTGACCCCTGTGGAAGAGCTTGCATCTTGCCAATTTTGATGTATTAGTGTGAGAGCGAAGTGAAGAAAATATTAATTCATTTTGACTGCAACATTTATTACATGTTCCCATATCGCATCAATATTTATTTCATGTTCCCTACCGGTAATACTTCCTCAAATGCTCGATATTCCAGGGGTGAGGCATCACCTTTTCGTCCAAATCTCTAATTCTATAGGTGCCAGGTCTGATTTCTTTAGTGATGCGATATGGGCCTTCCCAGTTCGGCCCCAAAGTCCCAGTGCTAGGATCTTTGGTCGAAGGGAAAACTTTGCGGAGCACCAGGTCACCAATGCAAAACACCATCTTCTTTACTGTGAATCGTCTCTCTTCTCTTCGAGGAGGTCTAGCTCAACTTTTCTCAGATCATTGTTTGTAACTTCGTTGAAGTGGAGGCGACGAGGGGAAGAAACACCAACCTCTACAGGGCTCATTGTCTCAGCTCCGTAAGTCATAGAAAATGGAGTTTTCCCAGTGGCTGTTTTACAGGTGGTTCTGATGGCCATAGGACCTGATGGAGCACATCGACCCTGGCCCCTTTGGAGGCATCCAGCTTCCTTTTCAGAGTGAGCTCGATGGTTTTGTTGACCGCCCAACCTGGCCATTTGCCTAGGGGTGATGAGGTGAAGAAAAATGCTTCCTGATCCCAAGCTCATCACATAAGTCCCGTATCTTCCTGTTGTCAAACTGTTTG